GGAGCGCATGAACTGGCGCCCGTGCGTGTCAGGGCGCATGCGCGCAAAGTTATGCCCAACAGTGTCACAGATTTTAGTTGCCAGTTAAATATAGTTTCATATAATTATACTGTGTTTTAGTGGTCATTAAAATATTATAATTACAAAGTTCTGTTATAATTTTTCTGAAATTTAAAGTCAGGAATCTAAATAGGGAAATATCTAATGGTATACTAATATTTTTTATTCTGCAGGAAAATCATATTGTTGGAAATTGTGTAACTGGAATTTTATAAGTTTTAAAAATTAGATTTTAAATTTACAAGTGGAATTTGTAGTTATTACTGTTTTGTCCATGAGTGGTTTTTAGAAGCATTTTGATTTATCTGTTGTAAATCTTGCTTTTAACAGATGGTTTACTCAAAGAGTAATGTTAATGGAATTTAAAAGGAAATTTTTTTTCCATTTTTAGAAAAATTTCTTTATACCTCACTTTCTTCACAAAGGTGTTAATGGTTATTAATTTAGCAGTTGTTTATATTTTTGAGTTTGTAAAACTTAGAATTTAGACATGAGTAATTTTGTCAGAACCTTTATTTTTCTCATGTGTAATTTGTATCATTTTTAGGCAAAGTGTTTCATGGATTTCAAAGCTGGAGGCACCTTGTGTCACATTCTTGGGGCTGCTTACAAATATAAAAATGAACAGGGATGGTAAGTTTTTGCATTTATTTGATGTTTTGATGTGATATTTAAGTTAATGTTAAATAAGTTCTTTATATGATGTTAGAGAATTCTGTACGCACATTATGATTGAGTGCCAAGTAGGTTGTATTTTATCAAGGGCCCTAATTTACTTTGTTTCTACATGCAAGAAAAATATCAAACAGCTATTGTATTTATTAGATAAGTTATTACAGATAACAGATAGTAGGTGTACATTATTAGCAAATTGGAAGGTAAGCTCACTGTGAGATATATGTGTGTATTGTGATTATGTACAAAGCTGATAGATAGCAGGGTTTAGTCTAGTAAGCTAGGCCTTCAGAAGAGTCATCCAGTTTGGATATGGATAAAAGGAATGTGGCGCAGAAAAGTACAGATCTTTGTCTAGATCAGTGGAGGTGATAGGTTGAGAATCCCTGCTGCTGTTTCTGTAGTTTTACTCTCTTCACTCTTCCTTTTCTCTTTTCTTGCCCTGTCACTCTTGGTGCTATTTCTTCCTTTTCTTTCTTGAATTCTGGGGCTTCCATCCTAGTTTGGGAAGTTCAGCTGCTGGGACTAGTGAATGTTCAATGATGGTAATTCTGAGGTGGTTCTGAGTTCTGGTCAGGGAGCCACTGCACAGGGTAGAGTGGGGTGACTGAAGTGTATTGGCTTGATGTTGTTGGATAGTTTTAGAGATGTATCATGTAAAGTTTAACCAAAGAAAGCTGTTGGGGTTACAAATTAGGCTTTAAGGCAAAAAGCGTTACTAGAGATAAAGAGGTACATTTCATGTTGATAAAAGGGCCAGTCTACTAGGAAGATACAAAAATTTAAAATTATATGCACCTATTTACATAGCCTCAAACTATCAAAAGCTAAAACTGACAGAACTGAAGAAATAGACAAATCCACAATCATGGTGGGAAGTTTTAATACACCACTGTCCGTAACTGAAAGAACACATTGACAAAAAACTTTGCAAGGATATAAAAAATTTGACCACCACCGGTAATTAATTGGCCCTAACTGATATGTGTAGAACATTGCACCCAACAGCATTAGAATGTATGTTCATTTAAAGTGCACATGAGACATTTACCAAAACAAACTGTTGGGTAATAAAATTCCAACAAATTTTTTTTTTTTTTTTTTTTTCCTTTTTTTGTCTTTTTTCGTGACCGGCAACGGATCGCAACCCTCGGTGTTGCGCCCATACCGGGGACTGGCAACGGGATCGCAACCCTTGGTGTTGTGTCCACACTGCGCTCAGCCAGTGAGCGGGAACCAGTCTCCACATGGGATCCGAACCCTCGGCGGGAGCGCCACCGCGCTCCCAAGCGGCGCACTCTGCAGTGCACCACTGGGCCGGCCCGTAATCTTATCATCCTTTTAAGAGAATACACGTGTGGCTGGCTGGTTAGTTCAGTTGGTTAGAGTGCAGTGTTATAACACCGAGGACAAGGGTTCAGATTCCTATACTGGCCAGCTACACCCCCCTCCTCCCCCCAAGAGAATACACATGTAACTTGTATATTTTAATTTAAAAGTTAAACTAACCCAATGCTTTATAGCTGGGAAATGCAAATATTCAGATCAGTAATCAAGACAAGTTTATAATTAAATGATTTATTTATAGTAAATAGAGACACAGACTTAGAACCTTTCATGTAAGGGTGGGCATTTAATAGATATTGGTTGGCTGATTGAACGATCATGAGTTTTTTTCTTTCTTTCTTTGGTGGCTGGCCTGTATGGGGATGTGAACCCTTTACCTTGGTGTTATAACACTGTCCTTTAACCAGCTGAGCTAACCAGCCAGCCCAGAGTTTATTGTTACTAGAAGTGACTTTCTGTTTTCCTGTTCTATGTCTATCTCTGGTGTTGCACCTCTCTCACTAGGGTGTTTATTCTCTGGTCAATGATCAACAGCATGCCTGAGTACTCCCAGGTATGGTTGTACTTTACTATTAGCTCTGGATTCCCAGTTGGAATTCTTTTCTCTACTTATTTTCTTGTTCAGCTTGTGTCCCGAGTTCTGACTGGACTCTTGAGGACAGTCTCAAATTGAAATGACTTTTCTTAAGGTACATATTGTAGAACTTGCTTTGTGTTCCCAGTGCTTGTACAATGACATATTTTTACCTAAAATGATGTAAGATGATTTAGAAGGATATGTGTAATAAAATCTCTTAAAAATTAAGAGTGGGGCCAAAAAAAGAAGTAAAGGATAGGGTTAGGGGACACGGTTAGAGGAGTTAGGAATGAGGATTTTTTTTCAAGTCTTTTAGTCAGAGTGTACCAGAATCATCCTTTTTTTTTTTTTTTTTTTTTTTTTTTTTTTTTTTTTTTCCTTTTTGTCTTTTTTCATGCCCGGCAACGGATCGCAACCCTCAGTGTTGCTCCCTGCTCCTTGCTCAGCCAGTGAGCGGGAACCGGTCTGTATGTGGGATCCGAACCCGCGGTGGGAGCGCTGCCACACTTCCCAAGCGGCGCACTGTAGCAGTGCGCCACCGGGCCGGCCCCAGAATCATCCTTTTTGAGGTGTAATTATATATCCAATTTTGGTGTGCAACTTCCCCATCTTCTGTGACTTACACATTTGCAGTGAGTGGGTTGCTTAATCTCTAACAGTGTGCATTTTAATAACTGCCTGTCTTATTTGGACATCTGAATACTGACCTGTCATCCTGACAGTGTCTCTGACTTGCTCCTTCCCTACGTACTCCTCTGAACCTTGTCTGTGTTCTCCAACTGAACCTCACGCTCTAGGCTGCATTTCTGGCTTCAGCTCCAAAGTTTGTTAGTTTCCTTGTTATGGCCTAACACTCTTTTCCTCGTTTCATTTTGGTTCTGCTTTCTTACTTCCTGGTGGCCATTGTTTTAGCCTCCAGTGACTTAAAGCTAGAGTATCATGTGTATGAGGTTGAGTGGTAATACTTGGTAATTATTGATATATTTGTAAAGCGACCATACAGATTAAGATTCCAGAATTGGAGAGTTTGAGTTTGATCTTTCTGGATGTTTCTAAATAGGCAAAATCAATTTGTGCCTTATTTGTGTTTTTTCTCCTGAAGGATAAAACTTTGGGCTAATTTCAAATATCATTATATATATCTGAGGGATACCAAGTAGAGTGGTTTTGACATGATTATGGAAATCCAAACATATCTCCTCAAGGAGAGATTAAATACAACCAAGTTCAATTGAGTAACAGAAAAGTAAACATCATTGCTTACATGCTGAATAATTAGGACTTTCTTTACTCTTTCTGACAGTTCTAAACAGATTGCTCTATGTTGTAATCATATTTTGTGCTCTTCAAGAGATTATTGATTGACAATATTTGTATTTTATTAGTTTTGCTTGACAGTGACTAGACTCAATATGAAGTTTAGGATTTGTATTAATGTGGAAGGTGACCTTTTATTTTTTCTTAAGACAGTATTTACTGCTGCAATTTATTTCTTGCAGAGAAACTCAGACCTTTTGCTTCTGGTGTATTTGGAATTAGAAAACTTTTCATTCTGCTTTGAGACTTGGTTGTTCAACTTTTATCATCCCCTTCAAAGTTTCCTTCAGATTTAAAAATTTTTTTAGATATTACCAGTGGCTTACAAACTTTAGGAATCGTCTGCAGTCCTTGTTAAAAATATAAATTTCTGGGCTTCATGGACATAGATTGTCATCCACTAAATTAGGGTAGAAATTGAGAATCTGCATTTTCAAAAAATACTCTAGATGGTCCCCGGGCCTCACTTTGAGAAATATTTGTCAGGCAGGTTGGCATTCTAGCACAAAGGTGGTTTAGTTTTTTGGGTGGTTTTTTTTTTTTTTTTGGCAGCTGGCCTATATGGGGATCTGGACCCTTGACCTTGGTGTTACTAGAACTGTGCTCCCCCACATGAGCTTACTGGCCAGCCCATGGTTTAGATTTTTAATTTGTGAAGAATTATTTGTTATAATAGCATGTTTTAAAACACTCTGCTAATTAGGTAGCTGTTTTTTTAGATTTAATAATGTAGCAAGGATCCAAACCAATTTTCTTTATCACACACCTAGCTGAATATAATTTTTCTTCTACTTATATAATACCCTTCTCTCGCCATGGGTACATACTTGTTTCAGAGCTCTAATTATCGCTAGGCTCTTTGCCACCCTTTTTGGGTATGGCATACTAGTCCTCCCTCTGGGGATGGTCTTCAGGGTTTTATAGCATGCCATCATCATACAAAGTTCTTTACTCAGGCCCACTTCAGTCACTTTCCCACAGAACTGTTCTGCTGTACTGTTGTCTTGCCCCCAGTTCAGTGCATTTTTGTTTTGCCTTCTAGAAGTTTGCTTCTGAAGCCCTTTCATACCACTTTCTCAGGAGCGAACTCTTTCCCTGGGATCTAATGTTCATTATTTTTATTCAGACTATGTATTGTAGGGGTTGCTGAGGATAAAATAGAGAACACCCTTAACTATAGACTCAAGAGGCAGTAAAATTGAAGCAATACAGCAATGGATGCCCTTTTGACAGACAGTATATGTTGCATTAGATTGAAAGCCTGCTGCAAGATATTGCCTAACAGATTGCCAAAGGAAAACAAAGCGGAAGACTCATTACTTAATTAATAAACCCTCATTGAAAACTCATATCTATAGTCTAAAAGGCCAAAGGTTTTAAAAGTTATTGGGGCCGGCCCGGTGGTGCACTCGGTAGAGTGCGGCGCTTGGGAGTGTGGTGGCGCTCCCGCCGAGGGTTTGGATCCCATATAGAGACCGGTCTGCTCACTGGTTGAGCGCGGTGCGGGCGCGACACCGAGGGTTGCGATCCTGTTGTCAGTCACGGTACGGGCGCAACACCGAGGGTTGCGATCCCGTTACTGGTCACGAAAAAAGACAAAAAGGAAAAAAATAAAAATAAAAGTTAGAATGAAAATTTGTTCATTTTGGGCCGGCCCGGTGGCGCACTGGATAGTGCGCCGCTTGGGAAGCGCGGCGGCGCTCCCACCTGAGGGTTCGGATCCCACATACAGACCGGTTCCCGCTCACTGGCTGAGCGAGGCGCGGGAGCAGCGCCGAGGTTTGCAATCCCGTTGCCGGTCCCCGGTCCGGTACGGGGGCAACACTGAGGGTTGCGATCCGTTGCCGGACACGGAAAAAAGACAAAAAAAAAAAAAAAAAAAAAAAAAAAAAAAAAAATTTGTTCATTTTTTGTCTTTCTCTATAGGGCTGTGGTAGTATAGGATAAGAATATCTCTTTTCAGTCCCCATCCCCCCTCTGCCCCCGATCCTTTCTGAGGCCTTCTTCCTAGGACCTTTCTGGAGCCCAGTGGCTAGCTTCACTCTACAGTAGTTAAAGAATTAAAGAAACTCAAGTTGAAGTAACAAGAAGCATAATATAAATAGTTGCCAAATCATCTTCCAATAAAATTGTACTAATTTATAGCCCTACCAACAACGTATTGAGGGTGTGCCTTTCCCCCCTCATTAGCTGTTTTAGTCTGTTTTGTGTTGCTATAACAGAAATACCTGAGACTGGCTCATTTACAAGGAAAAGAGGTTTATTTGGCTTACGATTCTGGGACAGCTGCATCTGGCACGGGCCTCAGGCTGCTTCTGCTCATGGTAGAAAGAGGCAGGCAGCTGGCGGGTACAAGCAGATCACATGGTGAGAGGAAGCAAGAGAGAGAGGGGAGGTGCCAGCGTCCCATAAACAACCAGCTCTCGCGGGATCTAATAGAGAACTCACTCATGAATCATCCCTCCCCCAGTGAGAGTATTAATCCATTCATGAGGGATCCGCTCCCATGACTCAAATCAGTTTCCAACACTGCCACATCGAGGATGAAATTTCCACATGAGTTTTGGAGGGGAGAACACATCCAGACTCCGTCTTTAGCCAACAGTATATTTATTTGTATTTTATATTACCTCACTGTATTAGTCCATTTCTGTGGCTTATAACAAAGTACATGGAACTGGGTACTTTGTAAGAAAATGGAATTTATTGCTAACAGTTTCTGAGGCTGGGAAGTCCAAACTCCAGGGAACATGTCTGGTAAGAGCCTTCCTGGTGGTGACACACCACAAGAATATCATATTGCAAGTATTGCAGAATATCACATTTTGAAAATGGTGGAGCAGAGAGAGCAAGAGAGCAACCTCCTCATTCACTCTCCTTTTAAAGACCTTGGAACCACGCCCCTGACCTCCATTATTAATCCATTCACTATGGCATGGTCCTATAATCTAATCACCTTTTCCAGGCTTCAACTTTCAGTTATCATAATAGGATTTCCCACCTTCTTAACAGTCACAGTGGGGGCCAAGTTTCTAATACATAAAACTTAGGGGATATAATTCAAGCTTCAGTGAGTTTTGGGGGGACATAATTGAATACACTCACCTTTTATTTTATTTTATTTATTTATTATTTTTATTTTTTTTTCCTTTTTGTCTTTTTTCGTGACCGGCAACGGATCGCAACCCTCAGTGTCGCGCCCGTACCGGACCGGGACCGGCAACGGGATCGCAACCCTCGGCGTCGCGCCCGCCCCTCGCTCAGCCAGTGAGCAGCCGGTTTGTATGTGGGATCCGAACCCTCGGTGGGAGCGCCGCCGCGCTCCCATGCGGCGCACTGTAGCAGTGCGCCACCGGGCCAGCCCCTACACTCACCTTTTAATCTTTGCCAATCTGTGACAGATTAAAAATGTTTTATAATTATATTTCTTTTTTTTTTTCCTTTTTGTCTTTTTTACTGACCGGTAACAGGATTGCAACCCTCGGTGTCGCACCCGTACCGGGGACCGGCAACGGGATCGCAACCCTCAGTGTTGCGCCTGCATTACGCTCAGCCAGTGAGTGGGTACCGGTTTCCACATGGGATCCGAACCCTCGGCGGGAGCGCTGCCGCGCTCCCAAGCGGCGCACTCTCCAGTGCGCCACCGGGCCAGGCCTATAATTATATTTCTAATTGCATTTCTCTCCTGGGTAGGCTTGAACATCTTTCTGTTTTACTTTAATATTCTTCCTTATAACACCAGTGTCACGGGTTTGGATCCCCATAACTGGCAGCTGCCAGATAGATAGATAGATAGATAGATGATAGATAGATAGATAGAGATAGATAGATAGATAAGATAGATAGATAAGATAGATAGATAGATAGATTAGATTAGATAGATAGATAAAAAAAACAAACAAGCAACCCACCCAACCTTGGGAATTTCAAAATAAGTCAAATGAAATCTTTCAACTCAGTTATATTTACCTGATTTCTTTATTTAATTTTTTCTTAATATTTATGTATTTAAAAGATAGATAGATAAGATAGATAGATAGATAGATAGATTAGATAGATAGATAGATAGATAGATAGATAAGATAGATAGATTAGATAGATAAAAAAAACAAACAAGCAACCCACCCAACCTTGGGAATTTCAAAATAAGTCAAATGAAATCTTTCAACTCAGTTATATTTACCTGATTTCTTTATTTAATTTTTTCTTAATATTTATGTATTTAAAATGCTTCTTTTACTTTCATAGCATACTGCTGATTCAAGAAAACTTAACGCTAAGATGACAAGGATATTTAGGATAAAGGGATTAAGGTGGTGGTGGTAGAACCCTGTCAAGAACATCAGCAGGTTGATGGAAGGATATAAACAATCATTAAAATTAGCGAATGTTGTAAGTTTTCCTAATTTTAAAAGGGCATTTTCTAAATACCCTAGTCAAGTACTCTTTTGTTAATTATCCATAGTATTTATTGACTGTCTAAAGACACTATGCTCAACATTCATGGAATCATAGGACTGACAGTTCCTAAAGAAATACTAGATATTTTGTATTTCCTTAAGATGTATATATAAGTTCTAGTAGGCAGAGTACTTATTGCTGCTTTTTTTCTCCACTGTAGGGTGTTGAAAATGTCAAGACACTTGGGATTTGTGTCTAGTTATGGTCAGGTGGTAGCATAGAGAAATGAACAGTGGCAGGTTGATTCTGGGTGCTAAGGAGTAATCATTCCTTGGAACTACTTTTATTATAGTTCAGGTGTCTAATTTGATTGGTTTTGAAACTGGTGGTCTTACTGTTCATTTGGTGGTGTAGCAAGTGTGATCTGAGTCATACAGTTATGGCAGTCACATGCTTTCCTCAAAGTTATTCCTCTTTTATCATTTAAAATGTTCCATGTGGTTTTATCATAGCTCCTACATTAAAGCACCTTTAGAGCATGGCATACGTCTTTATTTCCTTTGTAATTCTCATTGTACCTTGTTTGTTGTAATAATATATGGTAGACATTCAGACAATATTTTTAGATTTTGGCTAGGTGTTTTCATATTATGCAGTCTGAGAGAAAAGGGATAACTCTCTCATTTGTTAGTTTTGTTGGTTAAAGCACTGTGTACAACTCTAATTCTTGATAGTTGTTATCATCTCCATAGCCCTGTCCCCTTGGCCTGTCCCTTGGTCTGTCTGTGGAGTAAGGACTGGCACTTGAGTCTTATAAAACATAGATCATGGATGCCATTGCTGTGTTACCTCTCACTGGTTCCTATGGGGTTGGGTTACTGACAGCTACCACACAGTCTCAAATAAAGGGATAATCTTTACTCTTGACTGTTACTGTGGTCAGTTACAAATTTTATTTGAAGAAATCTTGTCTGTTTAAATCATGTATCTTAAAACTGTATCAGAATTAACTACCCAAGATACTTTCCTTTGCCTAAGGGAACATAAACACTGTTAGATTTGAACAAATGATTTTTAAGCATATATAAAGTAGGTAAACTTTCCTTATACTTGAAGTATAATTTGGTAGTTCCCTTCCTTTGGATCTGTGGACTCCTTTTCTATAATCTGTATCTTAGATTTAAGAAAAAAGTGATACTTCATGGAATTGGTACTTCATTTTGACTAGGTTGGATCCTAATGTTGTCTCTTTTAAGATTGTTGATACTGTGCATTGGTGTACTACTAAGTGAATACCTTCACAAATTTTCTAGAGTGCTGTTTAAATGTCCAAATCTTTCTAACTCATTTGCATTAAATTCTGAAACCAAGTTGTCTCTTGTTATGGTGAGAGACAAATTAACTAATTTTCTTCTCTTTTAGGCGGAGGTTTGACCTACAGAATCCATCTCGAATGGATCGTAATGTTGAAATGTTTATGAACATTGAAAAAACATTGGTGCAGGTAACTCAGAAAGTTAGGTTATTAAAATTTTTTTCTTTAATATACTTTTTTTTCCCCTTGGCAGCTGGCCAGTATGGGAACCAAACCCTTGACCTTGGTGTTAAACAGCTGTGCTGTAACCGACTGAGCTAACCAGCCAGCCTACTTTCAGTCCTAAGATTGGCTTTATTGAATTGCCAAAAGAGCAGAGGAAGAAAAATGTCCTGAAATCTTTTTTAAAATTATTTTTGTGGGTGTTTAGAAAGTAGAGCTATGACTGATCCTGCTATTTTAAGAGTATTGATCTTAAATTTCTGGTGAAATAATCTGTAATATTTTTCTTTATTAATTTCACCTAATGCATTATTTGAATCACTTTCATTTAATTTACTGTAAACACTCTCTACTGGTTACTTGATTATACAGTCATTTTTTAAAAAATTTGTTCCATGGTCGTGTCTTAAATATAGATCTTATTTTCCTAATAGATTATAACCTGAAGGAGAGAATGTTTCTTTGTGTTGCCAGGTATTTTTATTTATTGGTAACTCATAGTGATCACTGAATTAATTTTCCTGGGGAGGGGTAGCTGGCAAAATTCAGCTGGATATTATTAACTTAATGCATGGAAGTCTTTTGTCACATGGACTCTTAGCTAGCGAAATTAAGTGGATATGTTTTGTTTGGTGATTGAGTTTTGGTTATGGTTTGAGAAGTTAATATACATGTCTTATCATTGCTATTTTTAGGATAAGAAATGGAGAAAAAAAAACAACTTTTATTCCCTCCTAAGAAAGTATGAAGCTTAAGGGCTGGCCAGTTAACTCAGTTGGTAAGAGCAGGTGTTATAACACCAAGGTTAAGGGTTTGGATCCCCATATGGGTCAGCTGCCAAAAAAAAAAAAAAAAAAAGAATGCTAAGATGTAGCTTCAAATATTACATTAGACTGTAAAGGTAAATTCAGGTAAAATTATTTAGGAGGATTAATCTGGCCATATGGTATTATACCTTAATGAAAAAGTTGCTGAATTTCTTTATGTCATGATTCTTAGGACTTTTAGTACAGGGTCCGGCCGGTTAGCTCGATTAGTTAGAGGGCAGTGTTATAACACCAAGGTCAAAGGTTCAGATCACCGCACTGGCCAGCTGCCAAACAAAACAAAATGAACAAAAAACCCCAAAAACAAAAAGATTTTTAGTCCAGGTGTAACAAACTGCAGAGAAGGGATCTGAGTATGGTTTTAAGTGGCCTGTCAAACACCTAGGTTTTATCTTGTGATAAGACTTTTACATTCTACATCAAAGTACATCTTCCTATTTTAGGAAGTATGGCTTTGAGTTCCAACTTTTGCCATTAGAGTAATGCATAAATAATGTGACATTATTAAAACCAAGAGAATTTCAAAGTGTATTCTTTCTTCCTCAGAACAATTGTCTGACGAGACCCAACATCTACCTCATTCCAGACATTGATCTGAAGTTAGCTAACAAATTGAAAGATATCATCAAACGACATCAGGTAAGAGATACTATCACTTCAGAAACATCATATAGTAGTGAGCTTCTAATAAATGTCAACTATATCTTGGGATTTCTGTATTTATCTGCATTAAAAGAAAGCTTTCTTTGAGTTCTTATAGTACCAGGTTTTTTTCCTCTTCACTCACCTCCAATTTTTAGGCTAGAGTACCTTTTGATAAAGTTATTAGGTACGGTGTTGTTAAAGTCTTATTGTGAAGTGTGCTTACATAGAGTTAAGGAGTCCAGTGTATTTTACATCATAGAACTCTATATCACAGAGATCACAAAGTCAAACAGAGTTAATGACACAGTTGTTGGTGGGAGGAGATTAAATACTACATCAAGTAAACCTACCCCCTTCTCTCCCAACTATAGGTATTCTATTTATACAGGTGACTTTTCAAAGAATGAAGAAAAAAATCTGCTTTTCTCATAAACTTACTTTGTCTTGATTCACACATGCTAGTCCTGTCTTCAGACATTTTAAAAAATTTTTGGCAATAGAATTTATTTTTATAGCAGTTTTTGGTTTACAGAAAAATCGAGAAGTTCAGACAGTTCAGATACCCCACCCCACCCTCACACACATAGTTTCTACTATTATTAGTGTCTTACATTAGTGTGGTACATTTGTTACAATTATGAACCAACATTGATAAGTTATTATTCACTTAATTTGACATTAGAATTCCCTCTTTATGTTGTACAGTATGGGTATTGCATAATGCAATGTATTTACCATTACAGTATATACAGAATAGTTTTGTTCCCCTAAAAATGTGCTGTGCTCCATGTATTCATCCCTTGTCTCCTTCCCTTCCTCCTCCTGTGAACCTCTGGCAACCACGATCTTTTTTTTTCTCATTACCTCAAACATTTATCATTTCTTTGTGTTAGGAACATTCTAAATCCTTTCTTCCAGCTAACTGAAAGTATGCAATAAATTGTCATTAATTATAAATTACCCAACAGCGCGATAGAACACTAGATCTTATTCCTTCTATGTAGCTGTATTTTTGTGTCTGTTAGTCAGCCTCTTACTGTTGCCCTTGCCCAATGCTGTACTCTTCCCAGCTTCTGTTAACCACCTTTCTACTTTCTACTTCTGTGTAATCAACTTTATTGGCTTCCACATATGATGGAGAACATGCAGTATTTGTCCTTCTGTGCCTGGCTAACTTTACTTAACATATCATTCTCCAAGCTCTTCCATGTTGCTGTGAATGACAGGATTTCATTCTTTTTTATGGCTGAATAGTATTTCATTTTGTTTATTTACCACATTTTCTTTATTTATCTGTTGGTGGTCACTTAGGTTTATTCCATGTCTCGGGTATTGTGAATAGTGCTGCACTAAACATGGCAGTGAAAATAGCTCTTTGATAAACTAATTTCCTTTCCTTTGGATATATACCAAGTACTACGATTGCTGGATCATATGATAATTCTATTTTTAGTTTTTTGAGGAATATCCACACGTTTTTCCATAATGGCTGTATTAATTTACATTCCCACCAACAGTGTAGGAGGGTTCCCCGTTCTCTGCATCCTTGTCAGCATTTGTGATTTTCTGTGTTTTTGATAATAGCCATTCTAACTGGAGTGAGATGATATCTTACTGTAGGTTTGATTTGCATTTCCCTAGTGATGAGTGATGGTAAGGATTTTTTCATTTACTTGTTGTTCTCTCGTATGTCTTCTTTTGAGAAATGTCTGTTCAGCTAATTTGCCCATTTTTTTTTTTTCCTTTTTGTCTTTTTTTCGTGACCGGCAACGGATCGCAACCCTCAGTGTTGCGCCCGGACCGGACCGGGACCGGCAACGGGATCGCAACCCTCGGTGTTGCGCCCGCACCTCGCTCAGCCAGTGAGCGGCCAGTCTGTATGTGGGATCCGAACCCTCGGCGGGAGCACCGCCACACTCCTAAGCGGTGCACTGTAGCAGTGCGCCACCGGGCCGGCCTAATTTGCCCATTTTTAAATCAGATTTTTTTTTTTTCTGTTGAGTTGAATTCCTTGTATATTCTGGATATTAATCCCTCATTGGATGCATGGTTTGCAATTATTTTCTCCCATTCTGGGGTTGTCTGTTCATTCTGTTGACTGTTTCCTTTGCTGTGAGGGAGCTTTTTAGTTTGATATAATCTTTCATTTGTCTGCTTTTGCTTTTGTTGCCTTTGCTTTCGAGGTCCTCTTTATAAAATCTTTGCCCAGTCCAGTGTCCTGAGGCATTTCTCCTGTGTTTACTTGTAGTAGTTTCATAGTTTCTGGTCTTTCATTTTACTGTTCAATCCATTTTGAGTTGATTTTTGTATATGGTGAGAGATAGGGGTCTAATTTTAATATTTTGCATATAGATATCCAGTTTTTACAGCACTATTTATTGAAGAGACTGTCCTTTCCCCAGTCAATATTCTTGGCACTTTTTTTGAAAATCAGTTGATTGTAAATATATGCCTTTATTTCTGGGTTCTCTATTCTATTCCATTGGTTTATGTGTGTGTTTTTACGTGAGTACCATGCTCTTTTGGTTACTATAGGTTTGTTGTATATTTTGAAGTCAGGTGGTTTGATGCCTCCAGCTTTATTCTTTTTGCTCAGGATTGCTATGGCTATTCACAGTCTTTTGTGGTTCTATATGAATTTTGTAATTTTTTTTATTTGTGTAAATTATGCCATTGCTATTTTTTTTTTTTTTTTTCTGGTCCTTTTTTTGAAACCAGCCGCACCACGCTCAGCCAGTGAGCGCACTGACCATCCCTATATAGGATCCGAACCCGCGGCGGGAACGCTGCTGCACTCCCAGCGGCGCACTCTCCCGAGTGCGCCACGGGCTCGGCCCTGCCATTGGTAGGGTGTTGCATTTGATAGGTGTTGCATTGAATCTATAGATGACTTTTGGTAATATGGTCGTTTTAGCAATATTAATTCTTCCAGTCCATGAACATGGGATGTCTTTGCATTTGTTTGTGTCATCTTCAATTTCTTTCATCAGTGTTTTATAGTTTTCCTTGTAGAGATCTTTCACCTCCTTGGTTAAATTCATTTCTAGGTTTCTGTTGTTGTTGTTGTTGTTTTTGTAGCTATTACAAATGGGATTGCTCTCTTGATTTCTTTTTTATTTTTCATGGCTGGCTGGTGCAAGGATCTGAACCTTTGACCTTGGTGTTACAACACTGTGCTCCGACCAACTGAGTTAACCAGTTAGCCTTTGATTTCTTTTTCATATTGCTTGTTATTGATGTATAGAAACGCTACTGATTTTTTTATGTTGATTTTGTATCCTCTATCTTTACTGAATTTGTTAATCAGTTCTAAGAGTTTTTTGGGGGGTGGTTTTAGGGTTTTTTATATATAAGGTCATGTCATCTACAAACAGGGACAATTTGATTTCCTCCTTTCCAATTTGGATGACCTTTATTTTCTTCTCTTGTTTAATTGCTCTGGCTAGGACTTTTAATACTATGTTGAATAAGAGTGGAGAGAGTGGGCATCCTTGTCTTTTTCCAGTTTTTAAAGGAAAAGCTCTCAGCTTTTCCCTGTTTAGTATGATATTAGCTGTGGATTTATCCTACATGGCCTTTATTATGTTCAGGTATGTTCCTTCTATACCTAATTTGTTAAGGGTTTTTATCATGAAGGGATGTAGAATATAATCAGATGCTTTTTCTGTGTCAATTGAGTTGATCATATGGTTTTTGTACTTCATTCTGTTGATGTGATGTATCATGTTTGTTGATTTGCGTCTGTTGAACCATTCTTGCATCCCTGGGATAAATCCTATTTGATCACTTAATCGTGGAGAATAATCTTTTTAATGTGCTGCTGGATTTGGTTTGCTAGTATTTTGTTGAGAATTTTGCATCTATGTTCATCAGGGATCTTCTGATGTATTAACCTCCTTCCTCTAACTTCATTTTAGGCAGAGACTTTGGGTATTTACTGCATGAAGCTTTGTGATTACATGTGGCTAAACTGTAACCAAACCCATAACATGATAAACTAGCTGAGGAGGCCCAGGTACAAGGTGATTTTCTGAAACATTTATGTGACAAAGTTTTATTGATTCTTAGGATTGGTCGAGAAGCCGCATGAAATATTTTTTTATTTTTTTCTTGCTGTGAATGAGATTGCCAGTTGAATCTTGTTTTAGCATTTAGTAAAATGTCTTGCATGTTCTGAAAGTGAATGCTTCTATACCACTTGCAATTGCAGATTTAATTCAGTCTTTCTCTTATATATGACATCCCTGTCAAAGAGAAAGGTAATATAATTATGCTATCAGTATAAAGTCCATTTTCTCTTTTTACTAGTATTATGACTGAACAGATCATTTAACCTTCTTTTCCCTTTTGGAGTACCTGTTTATTGGAGCGACTGAGGAGTGTAGCTTAATTACATGTGGAATGTTAAGAGGGCAGAAATGGAATAAATTACTGCTGAAATTACCTACACTTATAGCTACAAAATCATGCTGGAAAGAGTTTATATATTTCCCTACAGTTTATGCTAAATATTTAGCTGTCATATTTCCTAAGAAATCTGACTTAGTGATTGTTTTCAGGAATACCCTTCAGAGGGAAGTAAGGGTCTGGCTTGTTTCATGGAATCTTAGGGAAAAGCCCTTAAGAGCTAATAATAATAGTAGAACAATCCCCCCTTGTTCTCAGGGGATGTGTTCCAAGATGATAGTGGATGCCTGAAACTACAGATAGTACCAAACTCTGTATATGCTGTGTTTTATACGTACATACCTATGATAAAGTTTAATTTATAAATTAGGCACAGTAAGAGATCTAACAGTAAAATAGAACAATTATAACAGTATGCCAGTATCACTTCTCTTGCGTTGGGTCCATTGTTAAGTAACATAAGATTTATTTGAACATAGGTACTGCAATAATACAACAGTTTCTCCGATAACTGAGATGGCTACTATGTGACTAATGGTCAGGTAGCATATGCAGCATGGATACTCTGCACAAAGAGATAATTCATGTTCTGGCCAAATTGAGCAGGACAGCCCAAGATTTCATCATGCTACTCAGAGGGGGGCATAATTATGCACTTATTAATTATTTATTTCTGGAGATTTTCATTTAATATTTTTGGACTGAAGTTGACCTCAAGTAGGTGAAACTGTGGAAAGTGAAACTGTAGATAAGTGGGGACTGCTATACCATTATTGAATACTTATGATCAGGTCTTTACTCAAGCATTTTTAAATGCATTAGTAACTCACACTGATTGAGCACTTATGGTGTTCCTGCCACTATTCTTAGCTCATTGCGTCTGTTAATTCAGTACTAACAAAATTCTTATGATACAGGTGTTACTGTTACTATTTCATTTCACTGAAGACACTGAAGCATAAAAACTCTTGTCCCATATCATACAAGTAGTAAATGACAGAGCTGAGATTTAAACCCAGGCCTGTCTGATGGACTCCAGAGGCCACGGTCTTAAACACTGTGCTATTCTGTCTGTTGCTTCACACTTATTGGGTATTGTTACCCTCTTTTCAGCCTCTCTAGTGGCTGTTCAAAAATGTGCTCCAACAGTTCTAGTGATTAAGAATTCCTTATCTTATGAGGCAATTAATTCATCCTTAGACTGCTCTAAATTTTTGAATTTCAGAATTTTCCCCAGGGGAAGCATTATTATGTTTTTCTGATTGAAATAATTTGTAAATACTTATTGTCAAAGAGAAAATTTAGGAAATGCATTAAGGTGGTACTTAGATTTGATTTTAAGAGTTCTTATCATTCTTTTGGTCTCTAAAATGAGCAGTTTTTGATCTAAATGGCTTCCAACTCATATTCTAGACTGTATCCGGTGTTCTAGTCATGGCCTAGTCAGAATTTGACTTCAGTTTTTATATCAGTGAGTGTTCTAACATTGACTTAAAACTTTAAGATCAATAGCATACATACATGCTAAAAGTCAATTTAAATGTTCCATACTGTATGAATTTAGCACTAGCTTTTGGCCGAAGGCCATAAATCTGCATTGATTCACTTCAGATAATAATAATTTGTGATGAAATTGGGTTAATTTTAAGAATTAGTTAGAGCTACCCATATTACTGGTAAGGATACCCAGAGAGAGATATAAAGAGAATTAGCTAAGAGGTAATCTGTATTATTTTTCTATACAGAAATATAAACTGTTTGTAGATGATTTTTTTTTGTTAATCACTGTTCCTTTCTTGGACTAAATATAAATAAATATAATGTGTGTATATATCATAGTCTTAAAATATAAGTAAAACAATGCTTTTATAATTCTTATGAATTTTGTGTCTGGCATTGCATACCTTGTTTGTCATGTTCTTTGTTTTAATCTTATTTTTACTGTTTCTTTTCAGGGAACATTTACTGATGAGAAGTCAAAAGCTTCCCACCACATTTATCCATACCCGTCTTCACAAGAAGATGGTAAGGTAGTTTTTGGTTGAGGACTGGTAAACTCGTGCGTGGCATCATATGGCTTTTATATCATATCAGCAGAATTTTAAGCAATATAGCCAGCTTTTTAAAAGAGACTTTTAAGTATTAAATAAATTACACAGATTATTTGAATATGTGTTTTTTTATTTTCTTTAATAAAGAATTATGCCTTTTTTATCTTGCTTAATTGAGCTAAGCAAACTAATTTTGTGCTGTCCAACTTTCTAACCATTATTCTTTTATTTCTTTGTTGGTAATCATTATCCGGTTGTTATGTCTAGTTATGTTTTACGTATTAACCTTGTTAATGTTTGCTATGTCTCTTGTGTTCTGAAAATTAAGAGACGTTCCAAGATAGGGGAATATCTTCAAGGAAAAAGACCGCTTACTGGCTGTCTAAACTGGGCCCAACAGTTAGATAGTAGTTCGGTGAATTTACAGTGATTCAGTTTCTGATCTTCCGCTCTGTTATTCTGAAAGTTGATTTTTTTTCACTGGCCAGAGTTCATCAGAACTACAGAAACTGACTTGTGCTAACCAATTTTTCAAAGGATTGAATTGGAAAACACAATATATGTTAACTAATTTAGAGTGAAAATGGATCTTTTGTTTTTAGGGATGCAACAATGAAGTCTTCTGGTAAGCAGTACATATCCTTGCAGGACATCTATATGAGGAGTCAAATTATATCAGATTTGAGTGACTGATTACCCACTATCGAGTATTTTTTCCTGACCAGTTCAGTTATGCTAGAAGTCAGTAATAAAAAGATAAACAGATGGTCTCCATATACTTGAAAATTAAGAAATATATTGCTAAATAATCCATGGGTAAAACAAATTATAATGGAAATAGAAAATCTTTGGAACTGAATAATAATGAAATGAATAATAAAGTACAACCACATTAAATTTTGTAAGATGCAGTAGAAGCTATGCCACGAGGGAGATTTATATCTTTTAATTAATATATCAGGAAAGAAGAAAGGCTGGAAATGAATGCTCCAAACATCTTTCCAAAGCAATAAAGAAAAAAACAGTAAATTAAATCTAAAAAAAAGAAAAAAGGAAATTAATACAGAAAAGAGCAAAACTTAATGAAGCTGAAAATGTACAATAGTGAGATGCTCAGCAGTGTCAGAAATGGTTCTCAGAAAAGACTAATAAGATTATTAAAATCCTGTTGCTGGGGCTAGCCAGTTAGCTCAATTGGTTAGAGTGTGGCCTTGTAACACCAAGGTCAAGGGTTCAGTTCCCTTCACTGGCCAGACACATATTTTAAAAAAAAAAAATTCTGGTGCAAGTTAAGGGAAGAAAAAGGAAGGAACAAATAACATCGAGAATGAAAAGGGAGGACATCACCACAGGCCCTGCAGACATTAAAAATGATCAAAAAGGTTAATCATTTTTTCAGAGAGGAGAGGAGAGGGTGATCGCTTTTGTGTTTGGTGTCAAATCTAAGAAACCATTGCTTAATCCTTTTATAAAGTGAGAAACCTCACTCTATGTTCATAGCTAATTGGTGTTTTTTCAAACTTTATCCTATTAGGTAATAGCAACTGGTTTCCACTAGATGGAGTTGGTAGACAGCTGTGTATGTTAGAGTACTGATTCTTTTGGTAACTTCATCTCCAGTGTGGCTGGTATAAAACTTTTACATTGTGAACTTTTTTGTTTTGTTTTGTTTTCTGTTTTGCTTTTTTTGTCACAGCTGGCTGGTATAGGGATCCGAACTCTTGATCCTGGTATTATAACACTGCACTGTAAACAACTGAGCTAACCCGTCAACCCCTCCCTGTTTGTGAACTTTTTGAAAGAATTGCATTTTATCTATGATTTGAACTGTATTTTGTTACAGTTTTGTGCTTCTCTATTGTTTAATACAAGCTAGTTTTACTACATTCTGATGTTTGCTTGGCATCAGTAGTTAGAGTAATTTTCAGGAGATAGCACTTAAATTCAATTTTTAAAATATTTGAAGTTTTTATTTTTTAAAATAAAATACAAGGATACTTCAAAAAGTTCATGAGGAAATAGGATTAAAGCATAATATAAATCTTTCCATGAACTTGTCGAAGTACCCTTCTATAAGGCATGATTCTACACACTGTAGGATTTACTTTCTGGCTGTGAAGTAAATGTTTTCTCTCTGCTAAGCCCTGTGCTGGGCCCCATTACATGTACATGTTTCAGGTATGTATGCAGATGATGATACTACCAACAAGAACATACTAAAGGCTGTGTTAAAGGCTGTGTTGGAAAACTCTAGAAAATTCAGTATGCTGTTTATGAAGATTATATTAAATTTAAAATAATAAATGATACTTAATGGGCCTTTAGGTACTAGAGTGTGGCATGATAGGTGGGGTGCAAAATAAGCAAAACGTCTAGAGGTAATAAATGATGAAATCCATCTGAGGAGAAGTAAACGCACAGTTTGGGTGTATGAAGGCACATCAAAAAGTTGGTGGAAAAATATAATTGAAAAATAATATGGATCTTTCTGTGAACTTTTTAAAAGTGCCCTCCTGTGTCTTAGGATAGTGAGACTTAAGGGTGGGAGTTTTGGTTTAAAGAGCTTTGTGTTTGGGGATGAAGGAGAGAGGGTAGACAATATTGATGATTTTGGTGAAGAGAAATGTGTAACTTTGGCTATATTAGGAAAATTTGTCTGGGAGCTGATTTCTAGGATATATGACCTAAGGAGACCAGTCAGAGATCAAGACCCATGAGGAATCTCTGAATTAGATTGCTGAGTGAGGAAGAATTTTATCATTGGATGGGATAAACCTATATATCAGGAGAACAAAGGAGATTATTCAAGTGGCGAGTCAAAATGGTTAATAAATCAAAGTGAGGCCTGGGAAAGGGCATATAGATTGATTAGGAAATAATTGGTAAATTTTGGAAATGAAATTCTAGTAAATTGCAAGTGAAAGCAAGTTATAGAATTAGTAGAAAATCACCATTTTCTCAGAATGTATGTGAGGAAGAAGAAAGTGGAGGATGCAGCCGAGTAGGAGGCCTGGAGCATACTTTTCAGATAGTGGCTTTATAGTGTACTTGTGGGCACAGCAATAGTAAACTAAAGCATGTAATATTGGTGAGACCTGGAAGGACAGAGGGATCATTTTAAGCACATACATGGAAGTACCAGCTTTGGGAGAAAGATGTACTTCCTCAGATAAGAGAATAAATAAAGTAAGAAAATAAAGACATTAATTAGAAGAAGAGGAAAATAGCCTAAATCTAACTAAAGTTATTTGGATGAATGCATAAATAAAATGGGCATATATGTACAATGGAATGTTATTTAGCCTTAAAAAAGAGGGAAGTTCTAACACATTTTGTAACATGGATGAACCTTAAAGATGTTATTCTTTTTTTTTTTTTTTTTTAAAGATGACCGGTAAGGGGATCTCAACCCTTGACTTGGTGTTGTCAGCACTGCACTCTCCCGAGTGAGCCACAGGCCGGCCCTTAAAGATGTTATTCTAAGTGAAATAAATCAGTCATAAAATGGCAAATATTGTATGATTCCACTTTATGTGAGGTACCTAGAGTAGTGAAATTTAGAGACAGTAGAGTTGTTGTTGCCAGAGGCTAGAGGGAGAGAGAGATGAGGAGTTGTTCCATTGGTATAGAGTTTTAGTTGTGCAAGATGAAAAGAGTGCTGGAGAATGGATGCACAACAGTGTGGTTGTACATAAGTAACACTACTGAACTGTAAATTTAAGAAATGATTGGGATAGTAAATTTTATGTGTATTTTATCACAATTAAAAATAACAGAACAATTATTGATAGAATAAAGATGAAGCAATTCAAATAAAAATTCAGTATTTTAAATGCTCCACTGTTTTGAGCTAATTTGTTGTTTCCATACTGTTTTCCTCTTTGTTCTTTGTCTGTACACGTTGATTGACTTTCAACTTTCTAACTGAGCTATGTTCTCCCTTTGTTATTTTTTAATAAAAACTTCATTGAGATGTAATTTACCTACCATAAAATTCACCCCTTTAAAGTGCACAGTTCAATGGTTTTTAATATATTTGCAGAGTTGTGCAACCATCACTGCTAATTTCAGAACAGTTCCATCACCCCAAAAAGAAACCCATACCCGTTAACACTCACTCACTGTCTTAATTCGTTTTCTGTTGCTGTAATAAAATACCACAGGCTGGGTAATTTGTAAAGGAAAGAAGTTTATTCGACTCCAGGTTCTGGAGGCTGGAAAGTTCAAGAGTATGGTACCATCATCGGGCGAGGGTTATCCCATGGTTGAAGGCAGAAGCAAGCGCACGAGACAGAGAGAAAATGGGGGCATAACTTATTTTTTTTATCAGGAGCCCTTTCTTGCGATAACTAATCCATTCCCTCTATAATGGTATTAATTCATTCACGGTGGCAGAGTCCTCATGACCTAACCACCTCTTAAAGTTCCCACCTCCCCTGCTGTTAACTTGGCAATTAAATTTTCTTTTCTCCCCCCTCCGTGGCAACTAAATTTTAACAGGAATTTTGGCAAGGACATTCAAACCTTGACACTCCCCATTCCCCCTCCCCTTAGTCCATGACTATTTTCTTACTCTATGAATTTGTCTGTTCAGGACATTTCATATAAATGAAATCATACTATGTATGGCCTTTTGTGTCTCACTTCCATTTAGCACAATATTTTAAAGGAATATTCATGTTGTAGCAAGTATCAATACTTTCCTTTTTTATTGTAAAAAATAGATAACATAAAACTTCATGGTTTTTAATAGTGGTGACAAGTATTTGCATCTTATTGTGCAACAGAGCACTATAACTTTTTCATCTTGCAAAACTGACATTCTTTACCTACTGAGCAACTACTCCTCTTTCCCCTCTGTCTCCAGCCTTGGCAATCACTATTCTCCTTTCTGTTTCTAAGAGTTTGACTACTTTAAATGCCTCATATAAGTGGAATTATTCAGTATATGTATTTTTGTAACTGGCTTCCTTC